CAGTGCAACAATGAATGAATGAAAACCCAAAATCTCTGTAAATGTTCATTAAAACTAATAAAATTTAATAAAAAAAAAAGATATGCCATAGAAGGCAGAAATGAGATTAGTGTTTTTATATTGCTGTAACATCTCTGGCTTGGTCCTTGATTCCTAGGTCTATTTGACATTCTCTCTAAAGGTTATTTAGTCCAATATGAAATTTTCAATACTTAATAGTAATGCAAGAGATAACTTTATTGAGGGCTTATTCTTTCTCAAATAGTAATGCTAAGAAATCCTTTTATTTCTGATTTAGGACCTATTAATGATACCTCTATATTATATATGAGGAAACTAAGACATAGACCACAAAAGTTATAGTTAATCCAAGTTTCCTGATTCCCAGGAGGATTTTTTTCCCCATAATTTTTTTAATATATTACCTGAGAGCATTTAAATACATATACATAGGCACACAAACATGCATATATTCATGTATGTGTACATCAAAAGGGACTAACTCATTCAGCATTTCTTAAGCTGGAGCCAAAGAACAAATTCAAGTCTTGAGTTGCAATACTTAAAGATGCTACGGGCAAAATATTGAATAACCCAGGAAACATAAAAGAAGATGGAAGGAGTACAAGGAGTCACTGTATGAAAAAGAAGTGGTTAGCACAGGAGTATTTCATGAAACAACTTACATTCAAGAGGCAACGATGATAAAGGATGAAATTCAAGGTGCTCTGAAGAAATTATAAAAAAAAAAAGGGCCCCAGCAATTGATGGAATATCAAATGGCATATTTCAACAAACAGATGCAGTGCTAGTACTAATCAGGTTGTGCCAGGAAATATGGAGGACAGCTACCTGGCCAACTGACTGGAAGAGATCCATATTTATTTCCATTAGAAAAAAAAGTGATCCAACAGAGTCTGGAAATTATTGAGAATTGTCACTACTAATTAAGATTATCCAAGAACAACTGGAACAAACACACTGAGAGAGAACTGCCAGAAATACAAGTTGGGTTTGGAAGAGGCACTAGGAATATCATTGTCAATGTCAGCTGGGTGGGCCTTGGATGAAAGCAGAGAGTCCTAGAAGAATGTCTATTTTTGTTTTATAGACTATGCAAAGACATTTGATTGTATGGATCACAACAAACTGTGGCTAAGATTGAGAAGAGTAAGAATCTCAAAACACTTGATTGTGTTCATGAAAAATCTATATTTGAACCAAGAAGCAATCATAACAGAACAAGGGAACACTGCATGGTTCAAAATCAGGAAAGGAGTGCATCAGGGATATGTCCCTTCTCCACACCTTTTCAATCTGTACATAGAATAGATGACTCAGGAGGCTGCACTCTCTGAAGAAGGATGTGGCATCAGGATTTGAAGAAGACTCATTAACAACTCACATAATGCAGATGATAAAATCTTGCTCACCAAAACCGAAAAGGACCTAAGTGTTTGTTGCAGAAAGTCAGGGATTACAGTGTTCAAAATAAACTGCATCTCAATTATCAAGAACACAAAGTTTCTCATGACAGGGCTAACTGGCAGCAACATGATAGATGGAGAAGACACTGAGGTTGTTAACAATTTCATTTCACTGAAGTCCACAATCTTGGAACCAAAATCAGAAAATCAAAAGATGAGTTGCTCTGGAAAATTCTGCTGTCAGAATTTTTCCAGAGTGTTGAAAAGTTAATGATGTCAATCTAGAGACTAAAGTAAACCTGATCCAAACACAGATTCTTACTCTTCTCAAAATTACTTGCTATGAGTCAGAGATCTAGACAATGACCCAGGATAAAGAAGAATCAATGTCTTTGAGTTGTGGCACTAGAGAAGAGTATTGAACATACCATGAATTTCCAAGAGAGCAAACAGTTCTATCTTGCAGAGGATGAAACTAGGTTGCTCCTTGGAGGCACGGATTTTGAAACTCCATCTCACATACTTTGGGCATGTTGCCAAGAGGGACTCATCCTTGGAAAAGGATATAATGCTCTGAAGGGTGGAGGGTCAGTGCAGGAGAGGAAGATCCTGGATGAAAACGACTGACACAGCAACTGTGGCAATGGGGGCAGCTGTATCAAAGACAGAGGATCAAGACATGGCAGGGTTCAAAACAAGTGTTTATACAAGGTTGCTATGAGTCATAGTCTACTAGATGGCACATAACTAAATCATTTACAAATAAATGAATATAAAGAGGGAGACAAGGGTTAAAGAAAAGTTAAAAGTATTTAAGATACATGTAGGATTTCCTAAGTATTCAAATGAGAAAGAAATGTTTACACTATGGCCAAGAGATCAGATATGGAGAGTCTCCGTGGTTGGAGGTGAGCAACTTACTATCACTCAAAATTAGCAGTAAGTTCACATATTCTTCGATGCCTACGAATTCTTGCTTACTGCTGTTGCGACAATTCCAACCCACAGCAACAATCTGTTGAGCTACCAAGGTTGGAAATATTTATAGAAGGAGACTGCTCATCTTTTTCAAACACAAACGGCTGGTGGATTTGAATGGTCAGTTAGTAGCATTGCACATAACCACTATGTCACTAGGATTCCTTCTAAGAGCTCTAGTCTCTCCATTTCTTTAGTGAGAAATCTTAAGAAAAAAGAGGACTAAGACCTACAGTTACTACGTAGGATCTAAAAATGTTCTGCTTTCCTTTTTCCCTTTCATGTCCTATAACAGTGAACAGAGAGTGAAGCCAGTATCGGAACTCACAATTCTCTGTTTAAACCTATTACACAAATTCCCATCTATGTAAGGTGCACATTAAATAAAAGCCTTTCTGAGATATGGCATAACCAAAGTAAGGTACAAGTCAGGAATATGTGTAATATAAAAGCTCAAGGATAACACTAAGAGATTTGAGGTTAAAAAAGTGTTTTGAACAAAGAATAAATCTTTACCAAAAAAATGGTTTCTTTTTTAAAAGAAGTAAAAATGTTTCATTAGAAAACTAAAATTTAACAAACAAGTAATTTGGAAAGGAAAAATTATTCAAACAGAACCTGCTCTGGGAAATTTAGAAATTCTCTATTTACAAGAAGAAGGCTTTGTTTGTGAATAGCCAAAATTCATTATTCAAAATACACTAATCAAATAAATAAGCAAATTTTGGTAGTCTTGCTCATTACCTGATTGCCAAAGAGGTTGAATCCATTAATTGCTTCTAGAGCTGCTTTTGCTAAACCAACAGAACTGAGGAAGAAAAGAAAATACTTTCATTATTATGATGTATCTAACTATAAAAGCAGAACAATTATCTGATGATCCTTTATGTTTCTTTATGATTCTGTAAATTTCTTTACTAAAACATAACAACTCAGTTTTAAAAATATCTAAAAGATTTTTCAGTGATTAACAATTTTAATTTTTCTTTTTTATAGTTAGTGATCATCTGGGAAAAATATTTCTAGGTTCATTTTGATCTAAACTAAGAGTCATACTATTGATGATTATAGTACTAAGTTCATCATTTTTTACATATTCACACAGTAAAAATTTATAAGATAAACTTTGTAAGTAGGCTATATGCATAAAAATTACCAAGTTAAGCATCATTACATCATGTGTATTTAAAAGAATTTTTATGTCAACTTCGAAACTTGAAGAAGGAAAAATATCTTACCATACCATACACTTGCTACAAAGCACATATTAATATATTATGCAAATGCTCTTTGCATAAGTTCTACTAAAATAGACATTATTTTATGTTTAAGAATAGCTAACACTTCTTATTTATAATTATCTACTTCTCCTTGTAAAAAAAATGTGCGTTATCTCTGTTTTACACCTTTGTCTTCTCAAATTTCTAGTACACAATGTTGTTGTTGCTGTTAAGTGCTGTCGAGTCTCAGACAACTCATAGCGACCCTATGAACGAAAGACCTGAGTTCTGTTCAGAGAGTTTCTAGAGGCAAGCCATTTGGGAATTGGATGTCACTCCTGTTTCCAAGCTTGTTTTAATTGGAAAGCTCCACCAAACACTATCCACCATGGGTAACCATTATCACCCTAGTACACAATAATACTAGAAAATAAAAACACCTCAATGTTGATTAAAAATGTAGTTGAATTTAAGTATTTTAGAACTTTTCCTTTATTCAAAAGTGACTACATAAACCACTAATATAATTTAAAATTAATAATTAGTCATATTAGAAATAACTATTTCTAAAATAGAAATAACTGTATTTCTAAAACGGTACTTGTTACTGCAGAAGACAGAAAGCAAAATAAACATTACCTGGGAGCTTAAAAAAGTAGAAGTTTTCACGTGTCATCTAAGACTTGAATCAGAAAAGTGGGAGGCAGGACCCAACAAATATTTTCAAAAGCTTTCCAGGTACTTAAATGTATGCTAAAATTTGACAGATATTGTTCTCAGCTATTCATGTAATCATGTTCTACATTTTATGTAGGTCATTTACATGAACTCTTCCACTGCTGCAGTCACTGGTCAAGCCATGTTGCTGAGGGTCTTTCACTCTTTCACTAACGCTCCACCTTTCCAAGCATAATGTCCCTCTGCAAGGAATAGCCCCTCTTAACAACAACATGCCCAAGGTATGTGAGAGGAAGGTTAGACATCCTATCAGGAGCACTCTGGCTACATTTTCTTCAAAACTATTTTGTTTGCTCTTTTGACAATTCAGTCCTCTTCATCAACACCACAACTCAAAGACATTGATTCTTCTGTCATCCTTATTCACTGTCCAGCTCCCAGGTGCATACCAAGTGACTGAAAAGATCAGGGTCTAAATCAGGTACATCTTAGTCTTCAAACTGAAATGACTGCTCCTTAGTATTTTTCTTAAACACTCAGAACTCAAGAGGAAGATGTATATGGATATGTGTATGTGTGTGTGTGTGTGTGTGTGTGTGTGTGTGTAAACATTATCTCAACCTTTGCAATTAGTCTCTGTGTGTTGACTTCTCTCTGATAACTTCAACATTTTGCTGAGTATCTTATATTTCTGACTTCTCTTTTACTTGTTGTTTAATAAGAGCTTGAATATCAGCCAGAGGGGAATGTTTATTGCCTTCCCTGAGCATATGCCTCATCCTAGATATGCATACAGCTTTATAGATTGCTGGGTATTTGTGGAAGGATGCCAAAGTCCTTATGCTGCAACAACTCATACCTGAGCTTTTCCTCCCAGCTTTGCAAACACATCTATTACGTATCTAATAACCAAAATCCTTTCCCCTAGGCTATAATACCAGACCTCTGGTGACAAAAGCCTTTAGCCAACATAAAGGTTACACAACTCTGGCAGTTCTAAGCACCAGAGAATTCACTGGGAAAAGACTGACAGGCTTTTTTTCCCTTTGCAACTTATAAAATCAGAAACTCGGTGGAGCTTGCAAAACTGGGTATTTATCTGTTTTTCAGATCTATATGGAAAGAAGATCCATACCTCACACCGTATGCAATGCCTAACTCAACATGGATCAAGGATTTAGGGGTAAAACTAAAAATGATAAAGATCATCAGAGAGAAAAAAGAATAAATTTATGAGCTCTAATACTAGTATAGGGCTTTCAAAGACCTGCTATTTAGGAAGTAGATGGCCCATCCTGCTTCCTCGTCTAGCTTAACCAAGGAACTCCACCAAAACCTGTCCACCATGAATAACCCTTATGGCATTTGACACACTAGTGGCACAGCTTTCAGTATCACAGCAACCCCAGGATATCTAAGTATAGCAAACGGTACTGAGGTGAGGACTAAGGCGCATCTGATTCAGGCCATGGTCTTTCCGATCACTTGCTATGCTGCTTAGAGTTTGACAATAAATAAGGATGACAGAAAAAGAACTGATGCCTTTGAGCTGTGGTGCTGGGGAACAGCAACAGAACAAACAGATCCAGAGTGCTCTTTGGAAACAAGAATGATGAGAGTTAAACTCACATACTTTGGGCATGTTACGAGAAGGGGCTAATCCTTGGTGAAGGACATGATGCTGGAAAGGGTGGAGGGTCGGTAGAGAAGAAAACCCTCAACACCAGGTTGATTGGCATGGTGACTACTGCGATGGCCTCTTGTTTGTCAGGAAGGGTGAGGATGGCACAGGATAGAACAGGGTTCAGATCTTTTATTCATCGAGTTACTATGAGTTGTTCTTGATTCAAAGGCACCTTACAACAACAACAACAATAAACAGCATAAACAGACCATCAAAAACAGCCAAAAATGCACAACCAGGAGAGGAAAATATGGATGAGTAGGACCTTTTAAAAATGAAATACTTATGTGTATTCAAAAATGACTCCCACAGAGTAAAAAGGGAGCCTAAAGACTGGAAAAAAAAATAATTTGGCAATGATGTATACAGTGAAGGGCTATGACATAAATTTTATAGAAAACTCAAAGAAAAAGACAACCTCATTACAAATCACATGGAAGGAGACTGCCCACCTTACTTAAGTGGTGCAGTTGGTTGATTCAAACTGCCTACCTCTAAGTTAGCAGCACAGCTTTTTAGTCATTAGGGCACCAGTACTCAGTAGTTAATGTTGTTGATATGTGCCATCAAGTCAACTGCAACCCTAGGAACAACAAATCTGATCCCCGACCTATCCTGTACCATCTTCATCATCTTTGATATACTTGAGCCTAACATTACACTATGTCATCAATCCATCTGTTGAGGGCCTTCTTCACTTTTGCTGACCTTTCTGGTGTCCTAGTAGTAAGAAGCTGTAGTGCACTCTCAAAGACACCAACAATGATATCCTTGGTGCCATGGCATCTTCTAAATCAAGGCTTAATTTCTTAATTTCTTAGTTTTCTCTTGATGTATTGTTCCAGTTGTATTTCAATAATGAACAATATTTTACTTTCATGAGACATTAATAGTATTATTCAGTACCTTCCAGGTTCTATTGGGTCACCTTATTTGGAAATCAGAACAAATACAAATCTTCTCCTGACAGCTGGACAGATCTTCCAGCCTAATGAGTACATACAGCTCTGCATCTGTTGTTGGAGCATGTCAGTTGGTATTCCATCCATCCCTAGGGCTTTGTCTTTTTTTGTCATCTCTTCAGTTTAGCTTGAACCCTTTTATTCATTACCTTTGATTCTTGATCATATGCTACTTTCTGAAATGGTTCTGTGTCAGCCATTTTTTTCTTTTTGGTACAGAGTCTCTGTGCATTTCATCCATCATCTTCTCAAAACAGCAATGAGATATATCGTCTCACTCCAGCAATAACAGCAAAGTTCAACAAGACATGAAACCACAAATGTTGCTGACGATGTAGTAAGATTGGAACTACAACAGACAGCTGGTGGGAATGTAAAATGATGCAACCACTATGAAAACGTGTTTAACAATCTCTTAAAATGTTAGAAATAGAAGCATTATTTGATTAAGCTATTTCACTAAGAGGAATATGTTGTTGTTGGTGGTGTTAGATGCCTTCACATTCACCAAAACTCATGGTACCCAATGGATGAGACTCTGACCCTATCCAGTGCATCATCATCATCATTTCTTCTACACTTGAGTCCACTGTTACAGTCACTGTATGTGTCTATCACATTGAGGATCTTCCCTTCCTTTGCTGGCCTCTGCAAGCATGAAGTCCTTTTCCATGGACTAGTCCCTCCCAACAGTATGCCCAAAGTATGTGATACAAGGTTTCATTATCCTTGCCTCTAAGGAACACCTTGGTTGCATTTTCTCCAAGACATATCTGTTTGTTCTTTTGGCAGTCCAAGGAATATTCAGTATTCCAAGACTACAACTCAAAGGCATTGATTCATCTTCTATTGCGTTTAATCATTGTCGAACTTTCAGATGCATCAGATACATCAGATGTATCATGGTGTTTAAACACAAACTGTTGTTCTTCAATACTTTGGAGAGGTCCCTGTTTTTACCAATACAAAAAATATTTTTATTTCTTGCCTGATGGCACCAAGGGTGCTGATTACAGACCCAAGTAAGATTAAATCATTGTTAATGTCTCTTCCTTCTCTATCTATAATGATGTTACCTACTAATCCAGAGGTAAGGACTTTCGTTTTCTTGATGTTGAAATGTAATTCATATTAAAAGCAGTCATCTTTGATGTTCTGCAGCAAGCATTTCACATCTTTACATTGAAACAGCAAATTTGTATTATTTGCATAACAGTTTGTTTAAAGAGATTTCCTGTGATCATGATCCCACATTATTCCTCAAAAAATCCAGCTTCTAGAAATATCTGCTCAGCATACAAACTGAATGGAGAAATGATATTACCCTGACGCACACTTCTTGATTTTAAACTATGCTGTATTCCCTTGCTCTGTTCGGTCAACAGTTTCTTATTCTAAGTAACAGGTTTCACATGAGCACTGTGCTCTGGAATTTACATTTTTATCAATGCCAGTCATAATGTATTACGGTTCATACAGTTAAATGCCTTTGCACAGTTGTTGTTGTTATGTGTCAAAAAGTCCCCTGTGACTCATAATGACCCAATGTGCAATAGCTCTAAAGCCTGACCTATCCTTAGCCAGTCTTGCTGACTTCGACACATCTACCCTCATTACCTCAGTAACTGTGTCAATCCATCTCAACTGAGGTCTCAATAGTAATTAATTATATGAAACGAAATGTATGTCAATGACTGTATAAAACTCAGTGCACTTGAATGAGACACAATAAATATGAGTGGTTGTATGTAAAGCAATAAAAGATTTTTAAAAAATCCTCAAGAATGGTTTACATACAGACAGAATCTACTTAGTATGGTTACAAGGAAAGGGAAAAGGAGGAGAGTGTAGAAAAATTGATAGATATGGAAGACTCATTGGAATGGGTGAAGGAAAAGACGATGTGGCTGAATGGACAACCAGACATTTTATGTATAGTAGTCCCCAAGTGATGCTGAAGCATAGAATGTTCACAAATGATTGGGGGGGGGGGGGCGGTAGGAATACCAATACACTGTAAATTTCCCACCAAAATAAAATGTTTTTAAAAGTACTAAAATCAATCCTCAACTATTGTAGCTTATTCAAAATCAGTATACCACAACTTAGGATGTTGATAGTAGCTCTTATAAATGACACAGAAAGCTAAGTTTTACATGGAAGTCTGTTAGGATTAAAAAAATAGCTTTGTAACATAACAGAGAAGGTTTACCATGAAATAGAGACAGAAATAGTACTTGAAAATTTTACTATATTTGACCTTTTCTGGGTATCTAAGTTTTATCATTCACATGTCTTTCCTAACCAATCATTAACTTTATTTTGTGCTGAAGTAATTATTTTTGTTTGTTTTGTTTTATTTTTTGTTTTTGAAGTAATTATTTTATTAAGGAGAGAAGATCAGGATGGGATGCAAGACCCTCTCTACTAGAGGCTTGTTCATGAGACCTCAGTGCTAGGCACTTTCTCTGTGGATTGCTCCGCTAGGAGACAGCATCCTGCCTGCATCACCCACAGTCGCCATCTAGCTACCCAACAAGTGACAGTCTACAGGATCTTGGCCCACTGCTCACCAGTCTAAGCAACACAAGCCTGCATCACCCACAACTGCCATCTATCTGCACCACAACTGACAGTCTACAGGATCCTGGTCACCAGTTTCTTGAAAACCAGCCTGTAAACCTACAGTCACAAGAGTGATTCCCCTGATGGGCCTGAGTCTCTGGAAGACCTTCTAGTGACTCACTGAACCCAAGGGCCATCGAGGAACTGGGGAACTGAGAAACGGGTGAAACTGTTAATGCTGGAAATTTTTTGACTTACACAGCTGGTTAAGCTAAGCATCTACAACTACACTGACCTGAGACTTTTTATATAGGCTGCTGTTAATCTTCATAGAATGAATTATAAAACTACCTTTCAACAAATATGATTTCAAATCTGCTTAAACAGAAAGCTTGAACAAAACACTGAGGAGGGTGAAGAATAATGATGAAGGCTGATGTGAATGCACTGACATAATGACAAATGGGGCTTTGCTGTTCCTATCTTGAATTAACTTAAGGGCTAAAATGAGTGTTACACTTAATTTTAAATCATCTAATAAGTTTTACATCGGAAACAAGGTTGAAAATTAATACCAAAATCACAGTTCCAATTGAACAATTTGATTTTCTATTCATATTCAAATTCCTTACATTATAATAATAAAAACACCCAGACCTCAGAAAATTACCTTGAATGCAGCTCTGGACTCCCATTATTGTATTTGCTTCCTCTCTCCCAAACACCAAAGTCAGGTACACGGTAAACTCTCTCCACACAAAATACAAGGTTCTGAATGAAAGAGACCTAAAAGAAAAGAAATAATCTGTAAGTTTACATTAGCTATCAATAAGAATTTCAATGCCGTTTGTATTTCCACATACATATTACACATTTTTAACATGCTGGAGTATTTTAGTATATTACTAAAAATGTTTTCTTATACTTAACTGCAATACAGTGTCTAGAGTTAGATAACAGTGTACTGTACAGAAATAGAATTTAAATATCACTACAATTATTATTCATTTATGTATCTTCTAAATTATAAGAAGACGCATACCTTCAGAATTATAAAAAAACTTATGTGCTGTTTTTATTCTAGGTAATATTCAGAATCTAAAAGGTTAAGTCTAAAACTTTGGTGAAGTATTATTTCTTTGTTGCAAAAAAATATCAGTACTACATTGGATACAATTCTGTCTTGGAGCAACTGCAGCCAGAGTGCTGCTGAGAGGCAAGGCTGCAGATATTTCATGTCACATACTATGAGCACGTGATTAGGATGGACCATTCCTTGGAAAAGACATCATGCTTGGAAAGGTATAGTGTTACTGAAAGAGTGGAAGACTTTCAATGAGATGGACTGAACAGTAATTTTAACAATGGGCTCAAGTATGTGAGCAATGGTGAGAATGGCACAGGACAGTGCAATGTTCAGCTCCATTGTTCACAGGGTTGCTATGATTCATAAGCAACTCATTGGTACCTAACAACGAGAACACAGCACCAACCTGGAGTCTTCAGTCTATGTACACTTCTCAAATCTAATCGCCCTAATGTTTTTTCTAGTGACAGGTATCTTCTGCTATAAACTCAGAGCTCCCTGACTGCCCTTTGTCCAAGACATATTTTTCTTTTGGCCGTACATCAGATATTCAGTACTCTTTTCCAATATCACAACTCAAGAGGCATCAATTCTTCTGCTATCCTTATCCACTGTTCAACTTTCTGAAGCATAGCATGCAACTGAAAAGACCACAGGAACATCTTAGTCTCCAAACTGATGTCATTGTTCTTTAGTACTTTGAAGAGGTCCTTAACAGCAGTGGAAACCAAAAATTTAAAAACATTTGGAGAAGGAAAAAATTAGCTTTCTGTTAACTGGCAAATGTTCCAGTGGGATTCAGTTTTTGTTGGGAGGTGGTGGTTATGTATATGGACCAGTTTTCACTGAGTTTCTATGGTTCTGAAAAGATGATAAATATCTTGATTTCTGTTAATTTATCTCAATAAAGGCCCACTGAAAGTAAAAAAAAAAAAAGTATACTTTTTTCCAATGCAAAATGTCTTTTAAGTTCTTCACTGCTGGAACCAACAGTGTTGACTGTAGAGCCAACTAAGATGAAATTATTGGCAACTTCAACCTTTTCTCCATCTTTCAAGATGTTGCCATTTGTTCCAGTGGTGAGAAATTTTATAGTTTGGGTTTTCCTTGATTTTTTTTGTTGTTGTTGTTAAGATGTAATTCTTGTTGAAGGCTATATAGTCTTTGATCTTCTCCAACATGCATTTCAAGTTCTCTTCACATAAAGCAAGCAAGGTTGGGTCATCTGCAGAACAGGTTACTGATGAGTCTTCCCCTGAACCTAAATGCCATATTCTGGCCAGATATCTGTCAAATTTCTTAGCACAGAATGGTGAGTACACCTAGGGCTGCCTGTTTGCTGGAATATGCCAATTGGTATTCTATCAGTTTTCGTGGCCTTATTATTTGCCAAACCCTTCAGTTCAGCTTGAACTACTGCTTTCTTTTCCATTGGTTTATTATATGCTACTTTTATATCAGCCAATTCTTTTTGGTACAGTAACTCTCTGTATTCCTTCTATCTTCTTTTGATGCTTCCTGCATCATTCAAGATTTTTCCTATAACATCTTCTAGTTGTAACTCTAGGATTAAGTGCTGAGTTCCACCATTAATATTCTTACAGCTGTTTAGTTTACCAAATCATAAAGAATCATTAAAATATCCACATTATATTACATTTTTTTGATGGGAACACAAATCAATCTTTCTTAAAAATAAATGAATAAAGATGGAGTAATTTATTTCTGAGCTCTCAATTTTTTTATCACTAGTTTTTATTTCACTCAAACTCACTCTGATGTTTTAGTCAGTAGGGAATTGCACTGACAGCTCAGAAGTGGCACATCTCCATCAGGTCAAATCCACTAGCACCTCTGAGAGAGACATGAGCAATCAATGTTGGCTCAGAGATGATTCTCCAGTGGGTTTTCAGAGTCTGTAAATCACATTGGAGGAGACTGTCCATTTTTCTCCTGCTGAGCTGGTGGTGGGTGTCTTTGGGTTACAGCATACCTAGCTACTTACTGACTATCTCATCCATGCTTACATTTACAGTCTTTTGAATTATTCCATATGCATTTAAAATTCACACAATGCATATGAAAGACCAAAGAACTGATGTCTTTAAATTGTGGTGATGGTGAAGAGTATTGAGTGTTCCATGGACTGCCAAAGAAACATACAAATCTTTCTGGAAGAAAGTGCAACCAGGGTGTCCTTAAGAGGCAAGAAAAGTAAACTTTATCTTATATACTTCAGACAAGTTGTCAGGAAGCCTCATCCTTAGAAAAAGGCATCACGGTGAGAAAAGTAGAGCATCGCTAGGAAAGAAAAAGAACTGGCACATGGCTAACAATGGAGATGAGCACAGCAGAGACAGCGAGGCTGTTTCAGAACAGGGAAAGATTTCAATCTGTTCACAGGGTAACTGTGAGTCAGACTTGATTGATGACACCTAATAATAACAAGACACCATGGATTTCTCTACACATACACACACACAAAGGTAAACAACGGTGCCAGGAAAGAACTAAAAAATTTTACTTCTTTCAAAATTTTACTCTGTAGATACTAATATGGACTAAACATTTCTGTAACACACAAAAATGCAAATTAAATTCTTACAAAGCACATTATACCTGTGTGACAATGAATGCTGTCAGAAAAGCTGCTACTCTGCCCATAGAATGTATGTTCCCCATCAAGTTCATTACTACAAATATACACACTCAGTATATTACATTGTGGTGGTGGTGGTGGTGTTGTTGTCAGATGCCATCGAGTTGAGAATGACTCATAGCAACCATATATAAGATCTGAACCTAGTCCTGTCCTGAGCCATCTTCATACTTCCTGACACAGAAGAGCCCACTGCAGCAGTCACCTTGTCAATCCACCTTATTAAGGGTCTTCCTCTCCTTCATCGACCCTCTCCCTTTCCCAACATCATGTCCTTTTCCAAGGAATAGCCTGTCCTAACAACACGTCCAAAGTATGTGAGGCAAAGCCTCATCACTCCTGCCTCCAAAGAGCACTCTGGCTGCACCCTTGTGAAGATGTTACTGTTCATTCTCTTGGCCGTCCATGGAATGTTCAGTGCTCTTCTCCAACACCACAGCTCAAAGGCATCAATTCTTTTTTTGTCATCCTTATTCATCGTCCAGGTCTCAGATGCAAAGCTAGTAATCAGAAAGACCATGGCCTGAATCAGACACACCTTATTCCTCAAACTGACATCACTATTCCTCAATAATTTGGAAAGGTCCCTAACAGCAGATTTCCCCAGTGCAATTCATCTTCTTATTTCCTGACTGCTCATACCAGTTTCTATCTCCTCCTCTATCCATCATGACACTGCCTATTGGTCCAGTGGTAAGAATCTTTATTTTCTTGATATTGAGATGCAATCCACACTGAAGACTGCATTCTTTGGTCGTATGCAACCAGTGCTTCAAGTCCTTCTAACTTTCAGCAAGTAAGGTTGTGTCATCTACATAACACAGGTTATTTATGAGTCTCCCTTCATTCCTGATGCCAATTATTCTTCAAAGAGTCCAGCTTCTTGGATAATTTGCTCAGCATATAGACAGAACAGATATAGACACAGAATACATCCCTGCCACACTCCCTTTACCAATTTCAAACCATTCAGTGCTCCCCTGACCTGTTTGCACAACAGCCTCCAGGTCCAGGTATAGTTTCCTTGTGAGCACAATCAAGTTCTCTGGGATTCCCATTCTCCTCAATGTCAGCAACAACTTGTCATGATGCACACAGTCAAACACCTTTGCATAGCCAATGAAGCACAAATAGACATTTTCTGTAATTCCTTACTTTCAGCCAGGATCCATCTGCCATCAGCAACAATATCCCTGGTGCCATGGCCTCTTCTAAATCCTGCTTGAACTTCTAGTAGTTATCTATGAACTGTTCCAGCCATTTAAAAATAATCTTCAGCAGTATTTTGCTTGCCTGTGATATCAATGATACTGTTCAATAATTTCCACATTCAATTAGGTCACCCTTTTTGTGAATAGGAACAAACATGAACCTCTTCTAATCTAATGGCCAACCATCCATCCTCCATATTCCCTGGCATAGACTGGTGAGTGCATCCAAGGCTGCATCTGTTAATTGAAACAAGTGAATTGGTATCTCACCGATTCCTGGGGCCTTATTTTTTGCCAGTGTCTTCAATGCAGCTTACACTTCTTCTTTCATTACCATTGGCTCCTGCTCATATGGGACTTCCTGAAATCTGTCAGTGTTAATAAATTCTTTCTGGTACAGTGACTCTGTGTATTCCCTCAGTCTTGTTTTGAATACTTTCTGGGTCATTCAATATTTGCCCATAGCATCTTTCAACACTGCAACATGAGGCTTAAATTTGTTTTTCAGTTCTTTCAGCTTGAGAAATGCAAATTCTTCCCTTCTTATTCTCCAATTCCAGCTCTCTGCAAATTACATTATAGTACTTTGCTTTGTCCTCCTGAGGTGCCCTTTGAAAACCATCTGTTCAGCTCTTTCATCTCGACATATTTTCCTTTAAATTTGGCTTCTCAATGTTCCAGTGCAATCTTTAGAGTCTCTTCTGATACCCATTTCGATTTTTTCTTTCTCCTCGGTTTTTGTAATGACCTTTTGCTTTTTTCATGGATGATATCCCTGATTTTTTCCCACAATTCATCTGGTCTTCTATCATTGGTGTTTAATACCTTAAACCTTTTCTCATGATAGCTGATCATGCAAATTATGGAGATGGAATCCACCAGATGCTCCGATCTGACGGTACACACACACACAAAAATAATAAAAAAATAAAAAACAAATAAATAAAAAGATGATCATAAAATTCCAATGGAATGAATTCAGGATCATATCTTGGTTCTTATGGATTTATTTTCTTCAGCTTCAATTTAAACTTGTATATAAGTAACTGATGATCTGACCCACTTTGCCTCTGACATAGTTTTGACTGCTTATATTGAGCTTCACCAACAATTTCTTCCATAAATGTAGTCAATCTGATTCCCATGCAGTCCGTAGGGTGAAATCTACATGTATAGTCATCTACGATAGGCACAGCAAATTATTAAGGGTGACACATGACTGTCAACTAACAAACTACCAAATGGGCACAAAGTTTCTAACAGTGAGAGATCAGTAAAGGTATGATGATTAGCTGCTAAAAGGAGCTAATCGTATGACATTTAAAAAGCAGAAGATTTAAAAACATTACATTATACACATGGACATATATATTACATACATACACAATGACACACTTATATAAATCTATACACAGTTAATACTCAATATTAATCAATTCCTATTTTATGACTTTATCTATTCACCAAAAATATTCATGATCCTTTCATGGTCTTCCACAGACTGTGCATGCATAAGAGTTAAAACTTTCCAGATATGATTAAAAAAGATTGGCTCAATAGCCAACAATTCAGTATTTGTGAGGATTTAATAGAAAATATTTAGCAATAATAATGGAAATAAATTTTATCTTAAACTCAGTCCAAAAAAATTTCAGAACCTGGTAAACTAAAACTATGATAGTAAATTGGGGGGGGGGGGAAGAAATGTTTTAGATACTCCTCCTATTAACAAAAACCACCACCACCTATTAACTTCCCAGGTCCAATGATTGATTAGACATGAGTATGGATGGACAAAGAAACAAGATAGGACTTCAGATTCATCACTCTTAAAGGCCTAAGGTCCAAAGAGAAAAGAATATCGCTCATAAACTATACTAATTTCAAAGAATTAAATGCTCTAAACTTTTTAATTAAATGGGCTTCCTAAAAGGAAAGATCTATTATCTGTTAAATCACTTTCTCTTTGTCTGACTACAGAACTGTAAGTAAATATACTGTTGAAAAGAAAGACAATGTACAAGAGCAGTGCATTTATTATTTTAAGAATTTGAGTACCCCTGCTGAAGGCTACCTGATATATAAAAATTCTTATTACATAAAAGCCAGGAAACAAACAAACAAACATGGAAAACCAGGTAATATTTTCATAAGAAAATAAGAGAAGTTTCACAAGTATGCATTCTTACCTTAGGGGTAAAAACATAAAATGGTATGGTCTTATCAGGTTAAAAAAGTGGTAGTGTCAGTTGACAAAAAGGTGGTTGTCACTGGTCTTTAAGACATCATTCTGAATTACAGTAAAACTCCATCAGGTTCCCAAGGCTATAAACCTTTACAGGAAAAGACTGCCTCATTATTTTCCTGTGGAATGGCTGGTGGGTTTGAACCATCAACCTTTCTGTTAGCAGCACTACATATACTATCTATTATTATCTGAGGAGAATTTTTTTCAATTTTGAGAAACAAATTATTTTTAAATTCTACTATAAGTAGAATATAGTATTTCTAATAGTTCCACTCAGGTCCCACATGCAAGAACTATAAAAGAAGCAAGGGCCATGTTGCTGTTGTGTAGTTGTGTGCCTTCGAGTCAAGGACGACTCTAAGCACCCTATGAACAAAATACGTGAACACTGTTTTACCCTAAATTCCCTGTTTTATACTGCACCATCCTCCCACTTCCTGACACACAAGAACTCATTGCAGCAGTCACTGTGTCAATCCACCCAGTTAAGGGTCTTCCTCTCCTTCGCAGACCCTCCACCCTTCCCAGCTTCATGTCCTTCACCAAGGAATAGCCCCTCCTAGCAACATGTCCAAAGTCTGTGAGGTGAAGCTTCATCATCCCTGCCTCCAAAGAGCACTCCAGCTATACCAACACCAAGACATGTCTGTTCCCTCATTAAGACAGATCTGTTCATTCTCTTGGCCATCCATGGGATGTTCACTGCTCTTCTCCAACACCAAAGCTCAAAGGTGTCAATTCTTTTTCTATCATCCTTATAGTAGTCCAGCTCTCAGATATAATCGGAAAGTAATCAAAGGACCATGGCCTGAATCAGATGCACCTTAGTCCCCATATTGAGACAGCCATATCTAACCTCTGCAACTACCACAAAGGTGAACTGTCCCCATCAAGACATGACAAAACCTAGTCCCATGAAGTCAGACATGACCCCCATGGTCCCGGACCCATTTATACTCATCCCACAAAGTTACTGCTCTACTAGGTCTGAAATCCACTCTGGTGGCTCAAAGAGTACATGGAACCACACAGCAAGATATAATCACTCAGTCAGTGCAGCTTCTGAAATATGCTCACAGGCACCTCAGCCTTCAACCTTGTGGCTTTACGCCAGTGTTACAAAGCTCTTTGCCCTGCCAGTTATGTCCCTCTCCACAAACATGGGCAAAGGCTCTTAGGTTCTATGGGATACAGGCTCAAGGTTCTGCTTCATGCTGAGTCTCCAGTTCTTTGCTGTAGCTGTTGCTGCTCTTCTGTAGGTCTAGCTGGTGCAAGAATCTCTGGCCCTGAAGGGCACACGACATTCTCTTGTTTCTTCTTTGCTGGTGGTGAGAGTCTTATGATCTGCTGCTAAATCTGTTCAATTTAGCTGCTAGACTAGCCAACCTCTTACGGATAGGCTAATGCATCATATTCACTTATTTCCACTCATCCACATGGCAAAGTCAAAGTCAATGTCATTTTAAATGCTTAACATCATAAAAATATTATGCTGAGATAAAGGTTTCTATTTATTTTTAAAAATTATACTACTAAAAGCAATGAAGTGAAAGATATAATAATGATAAAGAAATATGTAAATGCTAATTTACTTTCACTGTTTCTAAGTTTCTTTGAAATTCAGAACTTTTCCTTTTAAATCACCAAAAAGAGAGACTTCGTGGGAATAAAGCTCTATAGCTTATTGTACATTTTTTCATTAGTATTTTAAACAAAAAACATAGGCCTTTGTGATATATATCCAATACTTGATTGAATGAATTTAAAGTTATCCCATTTTTATGCAATAAAAATGAAGACTTTTAAAAAGAAAATGAAAAGAAATTCTACAAAATTAAGTCTACTATTACAGAGTTTGAGGAAATGGTACCTCATCTGTGTTGTAGATAATTTGGAGTCCTGAAGAAATCATTTCTACAAGGTAAAGGAGAAAGAGTGACACCGCGTTTATCTGAAAACAAACAGCAACAAAAAAAGATTAACATAACCAATGACAAATGATAAAATGAAACGTAAAATCTAAAATTTTTATAAATTTGCTCTATCAGCAGCAAATGACAAGTATTGCCATTTTTACTGTAAAATAAAGGTGTCAATATTATAATAAAAGCTTAGATTTGTATATGAAACTCAAAAATCCTTAAATTGACTATGAGATGCTGACAATAAACCTGCCATAAATCACTTCAAAGACATTTCTTTCCTAAGGACAGCCACTTCCAGCCATACCTCCAGGATTTACTTTTTGGAATACTTTTTAGGAAACTGTCAGTAAACAGCATATCAACATTTCCTTAGTGAAATCTCAGGTCTGAATTCTTGAGCAATGCAAACAATTGACTTGTTCAACTACTAAGTAAAAGGTGCTGGGGAGGGGGGCAGTTCAAATCTCTCTTGAGGCAAAAAACTCAGTCATATATTGTCTATGGAGCACAGTTCTACGATATAAAGGCTCATCTTGAGCCAGAATCAACACCACAGTTCTACAAATCAACTGCAGCTGGTTTTTTTTTTACATGCATAAATTCCTGTAGACAAAGATAAATGTATGATAAATATATTTATTGTTGTTGTTGTTCTTGTTATGTGCCATCAAGTCACTTGCGACTCACAGCGACCCTATGTACAACAGCCCTAAACTCTGCTCTGTCCTGAGCCAATTGCACTGTCTCTGACATTCTCATCAGGATTA